CATCTAACACAAGAGTGACCCTAATTCACTATCTTTCAAATTCAGTTTACAAATTACAATCAACTCAGCAGAGGAACCAGTAAAAAGTAAACTAATTAAAAAGACAATCACTTCCTTAGAAACTCATTAAGGATGAACACCTTCCTAGAATCTCACTAGGGATGAACACCTCCTCAGAACAAATCAAAGGATGAAAACACTTCCTTAGAATCTCACTAAGGATGAACACCTCCCTAGAATCCCACTAAGAATGAACACCTCCTCTGAAAAAATCAAAGGATGAAAATACCTCCCTGAATAAATCAAAGGGATAAATAGTTTCCACACAGGAATCCCAAAGAAATATAACAGACAACAACCACTTTAACCCTAAACAGGGAATTTAACAACAACCATCTAAGCCCACAAAGGGTGAAGGTAATAAAATAAGAACAATCACACTTGGGTAACAGAGACAACAAATTGTAGAAGTCTATAGAATGATAACTCTAAGAATACAGTGTGATTGACAATGAAAGTGCAGGTGACAGTATGAAAAAGTTTTCTCAAAAAATCTAAAAGTGCTTTGTTACCTTGCTCATAATTCTTTTCTCAAAACTGATTGAATGTAAATTGAATTTTCGATTTTTGTAAATGTGTATTTTTTTATTTTTCATCAAAACTCATTTAAATAGGAAAATAATATCAGAAAATAGTCGTTGGTCATTAATACTTTTTTAGAGAAAAATCATGATGTATTCAAAAACATTTATTCTTCAAAATGAATATATTTTTCAAATTTGAACTGCCATAATAGATTATGTTACCAGTATAATCGATTATGACAAAGAGAAAATCGTTTTCTATTTCTGATGCATCATAATTGATTATGACAGTGAAAAATGTCATGTTACAAAATTTTATTACAATTGTGCTTTGGAGGCTTATGCATAATATTACTTCATCAACTTGTACCTCCATATCCAGTATTCTAAGACTCTATTTAGTCTTCAGGAATCATTTTGGCTTGCTTGAATCTTGAATACGATCTTTATCAAATCATATCTTGGGCTTGCTTAAGTCTTGAATGTTGTTGACTTGAATCATCATCAAAATCATCTTTTGGGAATGTAGGGACATGTTTCACATTGTCATCAATCTCCCTCTCATTGCTTTCATAATCGAGATGACAAATATCGTAACAAGACTCAAGTCTCTTGGAATGGTAGTGGAAGAAATTTTTTTTGTGCAATTCATTTTGAACTCACTACTGTCTGAGTATGGTTCGTTTCAGATGAACTATAACACCATGAAAGAAAAATGAAATGTATATGAATTGAACAGTATGTTAGTCCAAGAAGATACCAAACTCAAGAACCTAGGAAGCCACTCTATTCACTATGTGAAAAGTTAAGGAGCTGAAAAGAAAGTTGTTAAGAAACATGGAAAGGGTAAATGACCATTAAAGATTGACGAGCCATTTACTAAAATTCAGAAGAAAAATGACAAATGTCATTTTTGCGGGAAGTTTGGACATTTTCAGAAGGACTTCTTAAAGCGTAAAGCTTGGTTCGAAAAGAAAGGTGAGTATAGTGTTTACATATGTTTTGAATCAAACTTAACTGAAATTCCTCATAATACTTGGTGGATTGATTCTGGATGTATGACTTATGTTTCTAATGTGATACAGGGATTCCTTTCAACCCGAACCATAAACCCAAATGAGAAGTTCGTCTTCATGGGGAATAAAGTAAAGGTTCTAGTGAAATTTGTCGGTATGTATCGTTTAATCCTTGACACGGGATATCACTTAGACCTTACGAATATTTTTTATATACCTAGTATCACTAGGATTTAGTTTCTTTGTCTAAGCTTGATATTGCTGGATACTCTTTTAAGTTTGGGAATGGTGGTTTCAGTTTGTTTATGCATACTTATATTATTGGATCTGGTATACTTTATGATGATTTATATAAATTGAATTTGGATAATTTATATGCTGAAACTCTCATGATCTTGTATCATAAGTTGACACTAAACGTAGTTTAATGGATAAACAATTTACTCACTTGTGGCATAAGCATCTGGGATACATTTCCAAATAAAGAATGCAAATATTAATAGAGAATAAAATCCTTCCAGATTCATATTTTATTTATCTGAATATATGTGTGGATTGTATTAAAAGCAAACAACAAAACACACAAAAAAAGGAGCCACAAGATGCACTCAACTTCTTGAAATCATACACACGAATATATGTGGTCCATTTGATGTAAATTCTTTCAATAAAGAGAAGTATTTCATCACCTTCATTGACAATTTCTCGTGTTATGGATATGTCTATTTACTACATGAGAAATCTTAAGTAGTGAATGCCTTGAAAGTCTATATAAATGAAGTGGAGAGACAATTAGACAAAAAGTGAAAATTGTCAGGTCAGATAGAGGTTGTGAATATTATAGAAGATATGATGAAAGTGGATAACACCCTGGTCTGTTTGCTAAGTTTCTTGAAAAATGTGGTATTTGTGCTCAATACACGATGTCAGACACACCACAACAAAATGGTGTGTCAGAAAGGCGTAATCGAACCTCAATGGATATGGTTAGAAACATGTTAAGTAATTCATGTTTACCTGTATTGTTGTGGATGTATGCTTTGAAGACTGTCATGCATTTATTAAACATGATTCTTAGTAAAGCTGTTCAAAAGATTTATTTTGAGTTATGGACAAGTAGGAAACCTAATTTGAGACACTTGCAAATTTGGGTTTGTCAGGCAGAAGTAAGAATTTACAATCCAAAAGAAAAAAAATTGGATGCAAGAACAATCAATGAATATTTCATTAGTTATCCAGAAAAATAAAAAAGGTATATGTTTTCCTGTCCTACCCATAATACAAGAATTGTTGAAATTGAAAATATTCGGTTCATTGAGAATGGTGAAACTAGTGGAAGTGAAACTTCACGAAATGTGGAGATTAAGGAAGTTAGAGTACAAGTTCATGTAACTAGTACATCTTTTTCAAGAGTTGTTGTTCTACATGTTGTAGAACCACACAACAATCAAGAAGAATAACAAATTAATGATCCCGAGATTAACAATGAACCGATAATAAAACAACCACAAGAAATAGTATTAAGAAGATCTCACAAAGAAAGATTGTTATTTCGAATGATTATGTGTTATATCTACAAGAGTCAGAAAATGACTTAAGTATTAATAATGACCCAATTTCATTTTCAGAAGCCATTAGTGGTGATAATTCTGACAAATGGTTAGATGTTATGAAAGATGAGCTCAAATCAATGACATATAATGGTGTATGAGATCTTGTGGAATTATCAGAAGGATGCAAAAGTGTTGGGTGTAAATGAGTCTTTAAGACTAAGTGTAACTCTTATGACAATATGCAACATCACAAGGTCTGACTTATTGTCAAAGGTTTTACTAAAAAAGATGACATTGACTATAAGAAAACATTTTTGTCTGTTTCTAAAAAAGATTCTTTTAGAATTATCATGACATTAGTAGCTCATTATAATCTTGAGTTGCATCAAATAGATGTTAAAACTACCTTTTTGAATGGGGATTTAGAGGGAGATGTTTATATGGACCAACCCATGAGGTTCATTGAAGAAGGAATGGAACACATGATGTGTAAACTTAAGAAATCAATATATGGACTTAAACATGTTTCTCGATAATGGTATCTTAAGTTCAATTATACTATTTTGTCCTTTGGATTTAAGAAAAACATCATTGATCGGTGTATATATCTAAAGGTTAGTGTGAACAAGTTTATATTTCTGATTTTGTATGTTGATGATATCTTACTTGTGACTAATGATCTTGATCTATTAAATAAGAATAAAAAGTTTCTCTCTAACAACTTTGAAATAAAATATATAAGTGAGACATACTATATTATAAGAATATAAATATTTTATGATAAATCACAAGAACGATTAAGTTTATCTTAGAAAACATATATTAATAAAATTTTAGAAAGACTCAAAATAGATAAATGTTTAACATCTCTCTTCTAATATACTAAGGATTTTTAAACACTTTTAAAATGTATAAATTTGGTATTTTAAAATTTCTGTAATTAAAAAAACTTTTAAAAAGTATAAATTTGGTATTTTAAAATGTCTTATTAACTAGAAAGACAAATATTTATATTTAAACAAATTGTACACAAATAATAACTTTAACCACTTTTATTATTTTATCCAATGATTTTCCTTGAAATACAAATAGTTAACTAATTAAAACTCTGAACTTTTATATTCAAGAAGAAGAACAACAAAATTTATTGCATAGAAGACGATTATTAATTTTGAAATGTATAAAAATACTATATACGATAGCTAATTATTATAATTTGTATCAATTTTATATTTTTAAATAAAAAAATTTAGTACTTATTTATTATTTTTTACATGATAGTTAATACATAATGAAAGAAAATACATATTAAAACAACTAAACAGGTAATAGAATTCAAGTATGTTGACTGAGAAAAAATCTACAAACTAGAGGGGCAGGTTCACATGCAAAAAAATAAAATATAACTCAACCAGATTGAGTAGTACTCAATCATTCTACTCATTGATCATAGATGTAATTGTTTCATGAAGAATTATCCTTCTTCTTCAGTAGTGGAATAATGAATATATTGTGTTTCTTCCATAAAATTTTGCAAAAACTGAAGTAAAAGACAAATTAAATGAAATGAAGAAATTATGATAATATAGTAAAGAACAAGCGAAACCAACGACGTGGAAGTTGACCGTAAATGTGCGAGCTGTACAACATAAAACCGCGGGCACAGAGTGAGGACTAACTATAAACAAACAAGAGTGGCGGGAATCAAAGTAGCCCCAAACGTCTCACACGCGAGTGAATTCCACGCTCCAAATCCTTCACATTACACATTCTCTTTCTCAAGACATCAACAAAACAAAACCCTCTCTCCCTGGATATCGTGAAGCGAAAGGAACGAGGAAGCGAAGATGAAAGATTCGGCGGAAACAGATCCTATAGCTGATTCTCTCAACCTACTGAGTACACTCCTGGACTCGGAACTACCCAGCGTCACAAACTTCAAAGGGAAATGGTCACTCGCCCGAGTCAAACTCACCAACCTTCACACTCACCTCACAGATTTCTCCGGCGAGTTTCCCAACGCCTCCACCACCAACCCCCTCTCCCTCCACCTCCTCCACTCCATATCCCACACGCTCCACGACGCCGTTTTACTCGCCGGCACGTGCCAGCTCCAAGACCTTCCCAACGGCAAGCTCAAAACCCAAAGCGACCTCGACTCCCTCCTCGCTACCCTCGACCGCCACGTCACCGACTGCGACATCCTCTTCCGCAGCGGTCTCCTCCTCGAAAACGCCGCCGTTTCCACCTCCTCTAAAAGAGAAGCCATCCGCTCTGCATCGCGAAACCTAATCACCCGGTTGCAAATCGGGTCGCCCGAGTCCAAAACCTCCGCGATGGACTCACTATTGGGCCTTCTCCACGAAGACGACAAAAATGTTACCATTGCTGTGGCCCAGGGGGTCGTTCCCGTGCTCGTGCGCCTACTAGATTCCCCCTCCGACATGAAGGAGAAAACCGTCGCCGCTATCGCCAAAGTCTCCACCGTCGAAAGCGCCAAGACCGTGCTCCTTGCCGAGGGTTTGCTCCTTCTCAACCACCTTCTCCGGGTGCTGGATTCTGGAAGCGGATTCGCGATTGAGAAAGCATGCATCGCGCTTCGCGCACTGAGTCTCACCAAGGACAACGCCAGAGCGATTGGCTCGCGCGGCGGAATCTCGTCGCTGCTGGAGATTTGCCAGGCTGGCACCCCTGGCGCGCAGGCCTCCGCCGCCGTCGTGTTGCGCAACCTAGCCGCATTTTCTGAGATTAGGGACAATTTCGCGGAGGAGAATGCGGTGGTGGTTTTAATTGCCTTGGCTTCCTCCGGGACTGCTTCGGCGCGTGAGAACGCGATTGGTTGTTTGTCGAATTTGATTTCCGAGGCTGACTCCGAGGGTATGTTGAATTTGAGGATTATGGTGGTTAAAGAAGGTGGGATTGAGTGCTTGAAGAATTACTGGGACTCGGGCACTCCAATTCCGAGTCTTGAAGTTGCAGTGACGATGTTGCGGCATTTGGCTGTGAGTGCTGCAATTGGGGAGGTTCTGATTGGTGAAGGGTTTGTTCAGAGGCTTGTGGGGGTGCTGAACTGTGAGGTGCTGGCGGTGAGGATTGCGGCGGCTAGGGCAGCTCACGCTTTAGGGTTGAACTGTGGGAGGGCGAGGAAGGAGATGGGGGAATTGGGGTGCGTGTTGGGTTTGATTAAGATGTTGGATGGGAAGGGTGTAGAGGAGAAAGAAGCTTCTGCAATGGCATTGTCGGTGCTGCTGATGCACCCTGTGAATAGGAGGGTTTTCCGCAAGGATGAAAGAGGGGTTGTGAGTGCGGTTCATTTGTTGAACCCTTCGTTGCAGGGATTAGATAAGAAGTACCCTGTTTCGTTGCTCGCTTCGTTAGTGCATACAAAGAGTTGCAGAAAGCAAATGGTAGCAGCAGGGGCTTGTGTATATACGCAGAAGCTTGTGGAGATGGATGTGCCGGGATCAAAGAAACTCTTGGAGAGTCTCGGGCGTGGCAAGATTTGGGGTGTTTTTGCTAGACCCTAGATGATAATGATGATGATGTTGTTCAACATGGAGATAGTCGTGGATTTCTGTAACATGAAGTTCTGATTATTCATTGAATTGTATGCATGATAGGCGTGATCAGGTTTTTTCCTTCTTTTTGCCTTGTAATTATTCATTAATAATTTATGTTTGTATGTAGAGGTAAGTTTTTGTAATGATTTATTGGGAAGAGATTGTGTTTATGTTTAGGAACAATGATATAAAGTACATGATTTTGTGATCAGTGGTAGAGTACGACCTATTACTTAGCTCAGTTTGGCTGAATATAGCATAGGGGTAGTACATAGTTGATTGCTAAAATACTTTGCATAGAATGCTTTTACATGTAATGAATGAGGTGGAGTATGTTCAGATTGAAATATGATTTTCAAGTATCATTGTTATAGTATTTGGATTTTCTATGATGAAAAAGATGCCTGTTTTCTATTTCCTTGTTAGAGAAGTGAAATTATAAATTGAATTGACTTTGACTCAATTTCGTATATATACATAATATAGTGGGTGTATGTATGTCAATACACATTTTGATTTTTGTAAAGGAATATTTCTAAATACGTGAATGACTAAACAAAGAAAACTAGATATTAAAAGAAGTAAGATGAAGGTTTGATGAAGTAGTAATAGCAGCAAAATGTTATTCTATATAACGTTTTTTTTTTACTTCTAATATTAATTCAAACATAAAATTGGTGAAAATATTATTATATTGTGATAAATTGTAGGATTGATTCTGTGATATCCTGTCGGCATAGTTCTGACTTCATTTTGCACATTAATAATGCTTTCCTGAGCAACACAGCAATGTGAATAATGAAACACCTTCATTTTTTATTTTTTACGAAGAAGATGAGTTGTGGAAACTTGACTAATTTAATTATCTTCACACGGGCTTCTTACATGCTCATGGAAATCCCAGGACTCAAATCATCATTGATATGGGGTGCCCTTTGTACTTGTACCTGTCTGGGCCAAAACATGTGCACACACAGATCCTTTATCCTTATAAATTTAGTACTGGCTTTATCTTAGACGTAACTTTCTCGGTGACTTCTTTACCATGATATACTTTTCATAGATGTCTATGTCATGGCTATTCTTAAAACCTGAATTCATGAGTAAATATTGCCCGAATAGTGTTTGATGCGGGAATTTCCTTAATGGCTTTTTGGTGGACGGTGACATAATTGTCTGTGAAACCATGTGCTCTTGTTATTGACCATGTGCCTGTAGTCTATGAATTGCCCTAAAGTGCAGTCTTGTTGTCTGTTTTGTTAACAATTAGGACCTACCTTAATGGCCTCTACTTATAAGTGGAAAACCCCTTCTAATGAATCAACGAACTGCATTTCCCTTGCTGCGTTGTCATTTTCGTAACAAATCCAAATTGGTATAAAATAGGAGTGCATGTTGACAGCTATATATGGGGGAATCTTTTATAAAGTTGTATTCCCAGCTGAAAATGTACACTTCCCTAGAATTACAGTTTCCATGTTTGCCAACTGTACAACACGGATGAAATAATAAAAAAAACTTTATCTCTGTATGGATACAGCTGAAGTTGTTTTGCTTGTGTTGTTGACAATGACCATGCATTAACCTTCAACTTGAAAGAGAAGGGACATGAATAAAGGTGTTAGATCACTTCTGAGGGAATTACTAATTTCCTGCCACATCTTCTTCCTTTTTCTTCTTTTTTTCCCAATAAAATATGTTTTTATGACCCGATTTCTCCACTCTAACTTGTGACGCGTTTAATCGGGTCAAAATTTATTTTTTTAATCTACATTTATATCAATTTTAAATGAAACAAATCTAGCAAAGTTTAGGTTTTATTTTTTTCAAGTTCAATCTACTCTGACTTATTTGACTATCGGACTAAATCAAATTGGTTGGATTTTGTATAAGCTACATATTTCAGTCCATCCACATTTACAGCCCTAACCAGTTTTTACAATATTATTAATTTATTTAAAACAAAAAAAAAACTGATTTTTTTTAAATTAAATTTACTTAAACTAAAAAAATAAATGTTTATGTTAAAAAAATGTACAACAATATTATTTTCAGACTTTGATTCATAATGTTTTAATGGGTATTTGAGGAGGATGGAAATCACGATTAACGAAGGATATTTGGTTCAAGATGAAAAATAATTTTAAAATAGTTAAACTCACTATACTATATATTTAATTATTTATATTTTTTTTCATCATTTTTCTATTATATATATATATATATATATTATAATTTATACATTTAAAACAAAAACAAAATTAATATAACAAACTACGGGCCAAATCTGAATGAATTTTGTTTGTTTTTTTAATTAACATGAAGCCGAATCCCGACCCGGCTGCGGTAGAAATTGTAGAATGAGGTTTCGAAATAAATAATAATAATAATAATAAATAATAATGTGGAAAGCAAACAATGATTGCTCTCTCATGTGCCGTGCCGTCAGTTGAACTAGCCATGTCGGCTTTCTTAGTTTGGTAAGTTCACGTTAATACTAAAATAATATATAATACATTAATGAATAAAAGAATATAAAAATATTTAAAAAAACGAAAAATTGGAAAAATATAATTTTTCTAAGATTAAAAATATAAATATATAAATAATTTTTAAAATATTAGACAGTCATTATTCTTAAAGAATGGTCTTGATCGTAATAAATAATATTTATGTTATTAAATTAACATAGTGTATAAATAAATGAGATAAAATTTTGATAAAAAATTATGATCAAACCATAAGAATTAAGATATTTAATTAACATAATAATAGAATATCGTATCTTAGTTTAATAATTTTAAATTTAAAACAGAGCAATTCATTAAAAAGATTTAAGATTAGGTTACAATTAAATTTTTTTACTTATAATTAATCAGATACTTTTTTTATTTTTCTAAGATAAGTAACAAATAAATTATAACTTAACATTGTTTTATTAAGAAGGAAAAATAAATAAAAATATATATACACATTTAGTCACTTTCAAATTTGATCAGAGACAAAGCTTTTCAAAATTTATTAGAGACAAAGCTTTTATACCCTTTATGATTCATGAACCAAGAGGAGCGCGTAGATAGTGTTCTCTACTATGGTTATAAAGCTTTTATACAAATTGATTCAACTATATCTCACTATACTGAAAGTTTATACTATGACCTGAAATGTGATATAACTTTTCTCTCAAATGTGTATACAAATTTGTTTTTAAATACTCACAAATTATATATATATCACATAATAATTTTACGTAATTCAAAAAAAGTTAGTTTACGGTAGAAAGGAAAAAAAGAAAAGAAAAAAGACAAGACAAGCTGTGTGATGGATCAAAGGATAAAAAGTTGTATATAAAAAAGGAAGTTGAACTTCAACTTTTGAAAGCACTTAGTCTTTTCAAGAATCCCTACTCATAATACCGGGTCAAGGGGGTTACCTGATTTTTATTCTTTCATATTATTCAATTGATTGAGAAGACAGAAAGGCAAAAACATTTTAAACGAATAAATAAAATAAAAATGAAGAGAATAAATGAATAAAAAGTGGATTTTTTTCTTTAATTTTATGTAAAAAGTAGGGGGAAATAAAATATAAATATATAAAATGACATGCATAGATCTGTTCATTTCATAATATAATAATCATTTAAGATTTCACAAAAAAAATTGAGGAAAATCATTATACTAAAGACCTAATTCAATTATAGAATGAACCAACTCTTTTAGAAGAACAATTATTTTAAAACATACAACCTGCATACAATGCTATATATCATTTTAAATAGAAGCTATCCGATTTGAAACTCTACTTTTTTATAATTTATTTTTAAAAAGCATCTTGATAAATTAATATATATATATATATATATATATATATATATATATATATATATAATAAATTATTCTTAGAATTATTATTCATATACTTTTTAACACATGTTTTTTAATAGTAAAATAATAGTGAAAACACAAAGTGAGCTTTATAAACCCAATTCACGTTCTGTATCAGATTCAGCTCAAACAAATTCAAATGGAAACCAAGTACAATTTGAATTTTCTATATGTAGGGTCTCTCCATTTTACTGATTCTTATTTAGAATGACAGAAATATTATTTTATTATTTTTTATTTAAATTAAGTATTAAGAGATTTTATTATTTGTTAAAACAGAAGATAAAAGGTTATTAGATTATTATTTTGATTTAGGCAGTTATGATTGAGATATTATTGATGTTTGATATTTTGTAATATTTTTATTATATATATATATATATATATATATATATATATATATAAAGTATATGAATAGAAATATACCCACATGATATATCGGACATACATATACATAAAACCTTACAAATTCTCAACAAATAAGTATCAAGAGCCTAGTTCAATACAATGGAAAGAGAAAGAAATTTTTCACAAGTCGCTATTCCAGTTTTTTATGGCGAAAGTTATGATTTATGAGCTGTGAGAATGCAATCCTATCTTGAAGGATTGGATGTATGAGAAGTTGTAGAAGAAGATTATATTATTGATCCATTACCTGGAAATCTCACCATAGCTGAAAGAAATTTCACAGAGAAAGAAAAACGAGGAAGACAAAAGCTAAATCATGTTTGTTTGCTAGTGTTTTACAAATGATCCTCACCAGAATCATGACGCTAAAGTCACCAAACAAAAATTGGGATTATTTGAAAGATCAATATAAAGTGGATGAGAAAATTCGAGGTATGAAAGTTCTAAATTGATAAATAAATTTGAAATACAAAATATGCAAGAGTCTGAGACAATTAATAGATACTCAAACAAATTGTTGGGTATTGCTAACAAAATAAAATTGTTAGGCAAGGAATTTTCTGATTCCAAAATAATTGAAAAAAATTCTGGTAACTGTGCCAGAGAGATATGAAACATCTATTGCTTCATTGGAAAATACAAAAAATTTGTCTAATATTACTTTAGCAGAAGTGCTACATGTTTTACAAGCACAAGAACAACGAAGATTGATTAGAGGAAATCATGTTGCTAGTGAAGGTTCTTTACTCTATCATGATGGAGGTTCTCTCCAAGTCAAGAACAACAAAGGTACAAAATCACAAGTTTTTTTTGTTTGTCCTTATTGCGAGAAAAATAATCACACACCCAATAAGTGTTGGTGGATGCCTGATGTAAAATGTCACAAATGTGGTCAATTGAGACATATAGAAAAGATATGCAAATCACAATCAGAAGTTAAAGAATCACATATTTTTAAAGAGAGAATCGATAATGGAGAACAAATGGAAGTGAAAGGTACAAGAACAATTGTAGTTAAAAGTCATTCGGGTATCAAAATAATTTTTTATGTTTTATATGTTCCTGATATTAATCATAATTTGTTAAGTATTGCTCAATTATTGGAGAAAAGTTATAAGATGTCTTTTCAACACAAACTTTGTGTGATTAAAGATACAAATAACTTCGAAATATTCAAAGTTCACATGAAAGAAAAAAAGTTTCACTTTAGATTTGATAAAAGAAGAGATGATTACAAACGAAGATATAAAAGAAAAAGTCAAAGAAAAAACATGAAGAAAGAAGAGATGATTACAAACGAAGATATAAAAGAAAAGTCAAAGAAAAAACATGAAGAAAATTTCTTGAAGGAACTTGATATTAAAAAGGAAAATAAAGATGTAGATGAAGAAACCGTTTTCAACGTCCATCAAAGAGTCAATGGTACTACCATGAAAAAGTTTGAAAGAAAAAAGAAAGATGACAATAAGTACAAACAAAAAAGAAGGAAAAATTATAAGCAAAATAAAAGAAAGAATATCAAATTCAAATAAATAAATATTAAAGTAAAGAGAAATGTTTGAAATATTACTTTATTTTCTTTTATTTAAATTAGGTATTAATAAATTTTATTATCTTTCAAGAGAAAAGATAAAAAGATATTAGATTTTTATTTTGATTTAGGCAGGTTATGATTGAGATAGTATTGATATTTGATATTTTGTAATATTTTTACTCTATATATACATAGAGTACATGAATAGAAATATACTCATATGATATATCAGAAATAAATATATACAAAACTTTGAAAATTCTCAACACAAACTACAATTATTTCCGGTTCAAGTGAATTTTCATGCAACCCAAATGCTTGTTTCACAAGTTGGTAAAAATTTTGAAAGCTCATTCAGGATACAAAATGACAAGTGATGAGTATGCTAAGTTTTTATATTATCTAATTTCCAATGAGTACCAAATAGCTCTATAAATAGAAAAATAAAATTACGCTAATAATAAATTATCTTATGAGATTCGTAGTAAAAGTGGAGGTGAGTAAAAATACCTATGTTATTCTTACTGTTGAAGCTCTCAACGCAGCTTAAAGAAGGGTTGTGTATTAATGGACCTATCATGTTTTGTTTGTCACTAACATGTTTAAAAGGAGTTCTTGTCACTCACATGGGGTTTCTACTATAGCACTATTTTGCTTTTGGATTAGTTTGACAAAACCATGATTCTATTCACTCTTTTTTTTATTTTTTATAAGAATTGAACACGAGTATTAACAACTTTACAAAAACTCACATTATTCAGTTAACTGATAGATTCCACTGGTATATTCTTACTAATTTTGGATAGATGGGTTGGGAACAGAGAAGGTATATGAAACACTAGGAGGAGAAAACCAGCCAATAGTTGTTTCAATATTAACTATTCTATGTTTCTTCCTGAGTAAGCATGACACCTCTAGCCTCTATTGTGCCATCTGAATGTGGTGAACAGTAGTAGTATGAGAGAATTAGCACACTCATTAAGGGTCAAAGCAAATAGTATTATGAATCAAATATGGATAGCTACAATATAAATTTACAAATTATTAGTTACATGGAGGCAAATGGCCCAAAATAGAACGAAATGAATTGTATACGTACAATATTTACACCTATATATACATATATATATATATATATATACAACAACAAGTGAGAGGGACAGCAGCATTTCAGCAGCTCATGTCGAAGTATTTTGGATTAGAAGGGAAATGATATTCCACGTGTAACTGCACATGAAATAATTATTAGATGAGACAGAAAGAGAAATGTGAAACCAATAAGTGCAAAACTTTCCATAACTAATGCTTCTACAACTATATTTGAAAGCGTATTAAAATAAAGTAAATGCAATGTTCTTCAAGCTCAAGAAGACACTGCAATGTCGTGCTTCGTGTTGTCATAAAGAAACTAGCAAGTATTTAACAACTCGTTATGGTTGCACATTGTTAAGAGTCCCATATTGAATAGGATGAGCTACTTAAGCCTTGAAACTTTCCCAACTAATGAACTAGTCTTTTCGGTTGGACTCTCCTCTTGTGATTAAGTCCTAACAGTTCTCATGATTAGAGTTATAAAGCAATATCTTGTCATTAACACAATTAAGGACAAGTATTAAGTTACTCATGCAAGTAATTATCACTAATTGAATCACATGTATTTAGTTTTACAAGACTATAATATAAGCTCAAAACATAATTAAATAACTAAGGTTAATACAGAATATTCAATTACAAGTTTACAATGCATATACATCCAATTATGCCAAAGAAAAGTCAAATTTAGTCCTTTCTTCATCAAATAAATGTGAAGCTTGCACCTTATCTTGTGTCATTTAATTATTTTTTCTCGTCTTTTTAGTTTTTGAGCTTTGAATTTTATTTTTCCTTTTTTATAGGCAAAATATTGACCAGCAGTGAAGTTGCACCTTGGTAACCAGTTGGTCATGGATTTGAATCCAAAAATTTACATATTGCTTAAAATACTTTTGCATTGCGAGAAGCCTTCTAACAATGAGGATACATTAGTTTTTTTTATGGGAAAATGCAATAATTTCAAGTTCTTCTTTCTTTTTAATAGGAATGGCATGTTATCCCTATCAGTTACTTAACTGGTTCACCCTTCGAACTGATCGGTTCAGTCTGGTCCATACTTACACTACGCACATGGTTACCCAACAACGATTTCTACCTAGATGAAAATGTACCATGAGGCACATATTTCCCAAGCTGTTAGTGCATGAATGTATTGAAAACACTTCAAATATATATATATATATATATATATATATATATATATATATATATATATATATATATATATCATACCTTGCCCTCATCAGAATCTGAATGACGTTGAGGAAACACTACCCTCATATCATCATACAAGTAGAAGCTTCTTTCAGGTTCAATGTCCACAATATTTCTCACTTCTGCAGAGAGAGTGTCAGATTTGCACTTATGAACAGACCTTGAACGTCTTTTAGGGAAGGGGCACATAAAGCGAAGTTGAAGAGCATAAAGCAAAATGCCTGTGTTAATAGCATTGTCAATGACCATGGAAGAACCATCTAAAATTTGTCTTCACAAATGACGAATGTGACTAAACAAAAGTTTTCTTTCTTACCACCCTTTGAACATGTAAAACTATCAAACACTCCACATTTTGAGGTTAGAAGATCATTATCTCTCTGACTGGCGGCTGTGATCAGTGGAGACTTGGCATCAGCTCTGATACCAGAATCTGTTTGCCTTTCCTTGTACATTGTGGACTTTGATCTAGACGCAGTTAAAGTGACCTTTTGCCGCAAGAATGTCTACTTTAGAGGAATACAAGTAAAGGTCATTAAACATGAAATTGGCAAAAATTTTGGTATAAAACAGTGTATAGTTGCTCATCTCTACTCAAGGCATGATAAGGGCAGGTATAATTTAATTTACTAAATCATACAGTCCATACATGAACTTGCTCATCTCTATTCAATGTAGGAGGACACAAACAAAAATTTGGGCAACTGATGTCTGTTGTACATCAAAATAATCATTGATTAACTGCTGTTCGAACAGAGATCACACCAGCATAGGTCTGTGATGTTGAGGCCCTGGTATAATGCAGTCTAGTTTCACCAAAGTGGTCCTATGGCCATTATACTCCTCAAAACTCAGATTGTATCCTACCATTTACATCAATGTTTCCATTATAATTAGGTTCAATGTTACTAAATTTGCTCCAATTGTACATTCTATCATGTACATCTCTGGTTCGATATGAAAGTATTTTTAAGAAGTGAATGATATGAAGACAAGATGGTCTCTTAAATCAATATTCCAAGCTAAATATATAATACACCTTTTATAATATGTTCAGCTTAAAATTTTTAATAAACATTGTCGTGAACAAACTCTCCCAAAAATTTGACATAATCTCTTACACATGAGTCATGTGGGCCTAAAGTATGCACATGCATCTTATCCTGTGCTGAAATTCAATTTTTATTAGAAGAACAGGGAGGAAAGGATTGAACTAGTGACCATTTGATCAGAGACTCGGATACCATAAATGAACCAAATAGTTTAAGATGTTGGGTGAGGGTACACGAAGAATTTTTATTTTTATATCTCTAACCAATAGTAAGTAAAACCTGCAAGAGGAGGATTATATGACACGCAAATCAATGGTTGCATCGAGAAAAAGCTTTGAATGTAATATATTCTCACAATCCTACCTTGGTACCAGCTGGCATGTCACTCAAATCATAATTGCAGAAGAAGGTATGGATAGGTGTCCTCTCTGGATTGCTGAGAACCTGCATTGTCAGTCAATTTGTCACTCACAGAATTTGGTACAACCATGTAGAATTCCACACAATAACGCAGAATATAATTGGGAAACTAGACATCCACTTGTTTCCACACAGCACATCGGCTATGAAACTCATGTTAAACAAAGATCACAAAGTATTGATCTACAACCATATCACCCTTCCTCAGGCAATTATGATCCTAGCTATAGCAATCGTGAGTAAGTTACAGTATACCCAGAATCTTAGGGTAAGAATTTAGTTGGTTATTATTATTTATGCAGTGAATTCAGATGGCCAGAGGCGTACTGATCAATTAGCAGCTAATCATGCATCCAGAATTAGATCAAGGTGGCACTTACAATGGCAAAGTCAGTTTCATTCTGAAATCATTGTTGACAGCAGGCACGATATATTTTTTATTACACGTTGTGTTAACTTATAACAAAGTTTTCAAATCCATCATGCATCAGATGTGATTATAATGTAAAATTAATCCAAGATTTTTAGTGCAGTAGTGACAGACCAGGAACTACTGCTAGCATACTTTCCTCTACACACCATATGTGAAATAGTCACTTCTTTTAATATCCAAATCAGAAATCTTGTGTTCCTTCAAAAGTCTAAGTGAGAAGTGGTATAATCATATAATGCTACCTTGCCATGTTTTATAACATAATAAAAAAGATTGAATAAATGATAGAGTATTCCAAACATTAAGTTATGCATCAAGTCTTTAACATTTAACACTCTGCATAACCATTTTCTTGTTACATGTACATATAAATGCATTCATAGAAGGGAGGAAATTCTGTTAACAACTATAAAGGTCTAATAGTGAATTACCAGTTGAATACGTCCTTTCATAGGTATACGTGTACGGGGTTTTTCAGATCGTGATTCATCCATGCTAAGGGTTCTCTGAAATTTGGCAACTCTAGCCTTGCTTGATAATAGCTTTCCTGAAAGATTTATCGATGAATAATAAAGTAAGTACTTGTCTCCATCCACGCTGGTTACTGCAAACGGTATTTTTTGTGACTGGGGTGAGAAATTGCCGCCAGTTACATTCAGCATGGCAAGAAAGCCTTCAATTTTCTGCAAACAGAAAGACCAGTCAAATTACTTCAACTTCATTAGGAAATTAATTCATAAAGTAGAGGCCTATAACTGAGAATAATACCAACCTGACAAACTTTCCCAGATAGTAGGCGACCGGATAACAAAGATTCCTCAAATGAACCAACCAGGGACCTTCTAACTGGCAGTCTACTCACAGTTCCACATAACTTTGTATCCTGAAGAGGAAAACTACCAGGATGAGTCCAATACTCTTTTAAATCTATCATGTTATCAGGAGTAAACAGGTCAGACTTTTGCTGCATATTGTTGGAATTGAGCTGTGATTTACTTGGTATCTCCTGCGCAGATAAACTGTCTTGACAGGTTCTATCAAGTGATTGTTCCACAATATTAAATGTCAAATTGTCATCATCCAAGATAATATCAATATTTCTGCATCCCCCCAAATTTTTATTTTCAGAAGATTTTTTACCCAGAGGAGACAAAGGGAAGGGAGGCGGTGACACATCTTTTTGTGGTATAGACAATGCAGCTGTTTCAGACCTTGTTTTAGTTGTTTGTTCAGAAACATTACGTGCTGAAGATGATTTGAAATTCTTATAAGACCATGGTTTTGCATGTTCACAATGTGAATGGTGATGACTATATACAGTATGGTTTTCAGAAGAGTCATTACATGATGACTTTCTAAATTCCTGAAAACAAGATGTAGAAGAAAAGATCATGCAGGGCATATGACAGTTGTTTCCTATATGAACCTTCTTATATTCATGTGAAGCAACAGAATTATCATCACCGACCGAATGAATTTGATAAATACCACCACCATTCTGTAGTGTATCACCTTTATAATGATCCGTACGCAGCACCCCATTCAATGGTGACAATAACCGCTTTCTGACTAGCGACTCGGAACCTTCAGTTGCATCGCTGGCGACATTAAACACAGTTGACGAATATTCATTTCCACCATAACCATTAACACGAGGTGTTGATGCTCTTATTTGAAAACCTACAGTCCTAGATATAGGTGTCTGCATAGTTTGCCTTGCATTAACAGATAACCCGCCAATTTGTTCTATGGGTTCAATCTTCAACTTAGCATCTCTACGGATACCTGAAATATGGGATTCTTTTGAACTCTCTAGAACATTCTTTCTTTCAGATTTAAGCATATCAATGTGCATGCAATGACCCAGGTCTTCGCCAGCCAACAAGTTCATCTCATAGTTGCTTATGCTGGTTACTCTAGGTGCAGTTTGCACAAATGTTCCTAGTGATGCAGCCACTTCCTCAGCAGTGCAGCCTGAAAACACCTGTGGCAACCCCATTTTTATTTTTCGGGCAGGGTTCTTCTAAATGCTCCAAAATGATTCACTCTTTCAATTACTATCTTTCTTTGATCATCACCATCTTCTAAATGTATCCATGCATCAGCATATGTACATTCATGCTTCAACTGTATTCTTAAAAAAACACAGCCAGAATCCAGTTGTAAATAAATTGATTCCTCCAATGAAAAGTAAAAATATTATAGTTCAGACTTTATAGCATCATCACACTACAGACAGTCTCCTGCAGAAATGAAGAAAATTATTGGTAAGTTCCTACAGATGATACAAGCAAACATATGCATTCACCTTATCACATTTTTACAACTTTTATTTTTTTTTCTTAAAGTATTAAAACTGCTGAAGTTGAAACATGAATTAATCTCAGGAGCAACAAGAAGGAATTTTAATTCAACAGACCCTTTAAAACTCCCAACGATTCCTACTTTGCCCATAAACCCCGACAACCATTCCAATAGCTAGGGGCAAAATCATTAGTCCACATGTTTTATTTGCATAATCTGGTTTAAAAATTTATGTGAAGCTCATAATTGTATTTATCCTTAAAACCACTCACGCAAAAATAAGGAATCCCCAAATGCAAGACCCTCATATGTTTCTGTAACCATTAATAGTTTAAAATACCAAAACAATGAGTTTTGGGGTATGATGAAAAGACCCACCACAACGTGCGGTTCATACGACAATCACAAAATCCATACGAATGCTCAAAATTCAATCTTGCGTTCACAATTCACCACCGGAACCAATCCAAGGAACAAACTTTAGCACAACCCACAACGTTAAAGGACTCATGTCTAAGAAAGCCCCTTCTTCTTCGTCCTCCTTGTTGTTGAAGCTGGGAGGTATTAGCATGTCTCACCTAAGACGGGGTTGGGTGTTAGGCTTTTGTGGATAACGATACGATATGGATCATAGCAAGCGTTGGTAGAAGCAAACAATTTGTGGGGTATGGCTTAGCCAGAATTTCCTGGCTGTCTATGCTTGTACTTTGAAAACCACAACTTGCAAAAGGGAAACCACAAGTTGGGTTTCTGAGTTCGAGTCAAGTTGCGGTTCTCTTTTTTTTCTTTCTTTGTATCACGTCTCTGCCCGTGACATGTGTCAAACCGTGTCAACAAATATAAGACCATCTTCATATTTTTAGGACCATATATACCTTCATACCAACCAACAAATACAAGGCATATGCAGCACTGTTTCGACTTATCAGCAATATCTGCTGGCGTTACGTATTTAGCTTGGATTCGAACTTTATCCATTTGCTTATTTTAACATGTTCATCTCAATTACTCCATTTGGTTGGGATATGCATATGCCTTTCATTTTTTAAAAATAAAAATAAAATAAAATAAAATAAAAACTAGATAAGTAATACAAGAGAAATTTGATAAATTAGTTCCTGCAAGGATTGAAATAACCTGTTTAAAAATTTGATCTTCTTTATCATCTCTAATAAAAATTCACCATATGATTTTATCAAACAGTAAGTGGAACTTAATTTAAAAATAATATATAAAAACGAAATGATGTGACAATTTTAATAGAATAACACTAGAACATATATTAAAACAAATAGCTTTAGTACTTAATGTATGAACTAATTTAAATTTAACAAATTTATATTATTTTTTCTTACTTTTTTCTCCTCGACGTGTTTAAGAAAATTGTCTAAGTAAACCTTAACTAAAGTACCCACCTTCAAAAAATCAGAGCATCTTACACTGGAAATGAGTAGTTGTTTAAAAATAATTTACTAGCTAAGTCGAAACATTTCGAAAGGTCCTGAAGAAGTCCTCCCAGAAACTGTACAGCAGAGAATTTAATCCTCTAAATATACAAATGTAAGGATCCCCGTTGTAAAGTAGATTATACAACAACTTTATGCCAAATGAAATACAAAAAATAGGAGCGACGAGAAAAGAAAAAAATTGAAAACCATAGAGAGATTCAAAAAAAGATGTATCATGGCCTAAATCATAGCTATCCTCACTCTAGGATGCCAAAATGAAAAGAAACTGATTTATTTGCTCCTAAATAACAAATCCATAGAAAGTCCAACTGTTGATGGCTTGAATGGACGCATAAATTTCCATGATGACGCCATATGGGACTCTTCTTTTTTAGCTTTCCTCCCTCTATAATGTCCCGCAGCAGCATGACTTCTAACAGGTCCAGAAGGTTTTGAATTAAATATCCCTGACGAAAAAGAAGTGTCGGGAGCGCCAAACGAAACAGGCCCTTTGTTTGATGCATCGTGTGGATATCCAACAGCTCCATCTTGATGAGGAGGTGGAAATTTCTCACTCTTACTTTTTGCATTTGCATGGGTCACAACTCTCCACCTCTGAAATTCAGTTAGAAACACATGTTAGGCTGCTCAAGGCAGGATATAAGACACAAAATGAAAAGCTCAATTTACCATATCATTGAATCAAACAAAAGTTTCGCAAAGTTCCATGTTCTCAAGGAATAAAAAATATGATCACCAAAACCATATTTTAAATGACAGGGTGGGTAGACATGATCAGAGAATCCTGAGTAAAAAAAAATGCTAACGAATCTAGGACTCAATTCTCAAGTTCTAGAGAGCATTTCAATTTGTAAATATAGCCAATCGTGCACTTGACAAGGTTTCATGAAAATATTGGGTCAGTTTTAGTATTAGAGGAAAAATGGAGGAAGATCAAACCTAACATAATCATTAGTTCAAAAGTAGAGTAGCTAAGATAATTCAATTATTATCGGATGTGCATCACAATAAGCACGAACTTGGGTTTGAAGGAATAGGATATTAAAACACAGCAAAACCAAGTGAGGCCAAGAGAATATCAGTCACAACGACTACGTGTCTGACTTACATCCAAGTTTGTTTGAATCTCTGCATTAGCTTCAGGGGCCGGAACAGCCCGGCCTCGTTCACGTGCTCTGCCTTTTTTGACACCATCAACTGCACTAGCTTTTCCATTTAGAGCCTTTTGTCTGAGGATTAAACGAAAATCATCAGTGAAAAACTGGACAAAAACAGTGGAGAAGTTAATTATCAAACATGAAAAGAGAAGAGGACCTTCTAGCTTCTTCATCTCTCAGTTTTACATCCAATTCTTTACTGGGAGGATACTTGGGCAAACTCGATGGTTCACAAGCATGGGGCTCTGTGGTAAAGAACTGCAGATAGAAAACATGAAATTTATTACATCATGGATATAAGGTTAATTATAATATACAGTGATCACTCACTTCACTATTAAGTGCTGCTGAGGCAGTACCACGATCATCAGGATCTATTGTAAGAAGAGTTTCAATTAGAGGTAGTGAAGATGGAGGAAAGTCTTTGAATGTTTCTGAGATTCCACGTTTATATGGTTGCTGAGGCTTAAAGATAGTAGCATTTGGCAATCTATACTTCCTCCAGTATTCCTCTGATGGAGAGCCACACAACTTAAAAATTTTGTGCAGCTGTTCAACCTAGCCACAATCAACCCAAAAGTCAATTGATAAGCCACAAAAAAAACGATATTGGGATGCATAAAAAGATATATACTGCGAAAGTGATGGGTTGAATCAACTTCGAAACATTACTAGTATAACATAAGTGCCACAAAGGATACAGTTTTCACACACAAAGGATAGCTAAATTAAATACTCTGTACTTTCAGAAGATAAACTGAAGTACTTAAAAGTTCTCATTTTCTGTTGTTTCCCTTTCATCTAGCTTTGTCTTTAAGATAGTTTTTGTATTTTAGTTGATATTCTACACCTGCTCCGTCAAGATGGTAGGTTAGTGCCATCAACAAACAAACTAAATGTTGATGACACCGTTAAACATACACAAGCCCTTTATCTTACCCAACTTGGTTGTGTCTAAGAGAACTTCTCAATAAAATGGCCAGCAAAAAAGATGTTCCCCGTACACAAAGCCTCAAAAGTGACTCCGGGTCAGGAGCAAGATGAATTACAAACAAACTACCGACAGGTACTTAAATATATATAAACAGATTAGAAGCATCAGAATGAGTATACAAAAATCTCAAGTTCAGAGAACAGAACCTGTAAACAAGGGTAAGAGCAATACCTCTGTTCGGCCAGGCATTATTGGCTTTCCAGCAAGCAGCTCTGCCAAGATGCAACCAGCACTCCAAAGGTCAATACCGACACCATATAATGTAGCTCCAAGAAGAAGCTCCGGAGGACGATACCAAAGGGTCACCACTCTGCTCGTCATTGACTGTTTTATCTTAGGATCAAAAAAGGTTGCCAGTCCAAAATCTGCAATTTTAAGGATTCCTTCATTGTCTATAAGCAGATTGGAACCCTTGATATCACGGTGCAACACACCACGACTGTGGCAATGCTCAAGACCAGAGAGTAATTGCTTCATAAAGCATTTAACCTGTCATAGAGAATATACTGAGAGACAAATCAGCCTTTCAGTAAGAGTTTTCCTTCTACTATGTAATAAAAATGAGTCTATCCTCCTCCTAGTCTGTCAATAATAAAAAAGCACCACTGCTTCATACAACTCCACCAAGCACTAAGTGCGAAAATCTCCATGGATCCAGAAATAAGCCTCTTATGATTTGACATTCACATTCCAAGAGTTTGCAATTTTAAACTGCTAATTCACCCACCTTATGTAGCATGAAACCTCTGTTTTCCATTTAAATTAGGGTAGACTCCAAATAAAAATTAAAAAGTCTTCATAATAACCAAATAATCTACTAGACACTTCTTAACATGCACGATTATAACAGTAGATTTGTTTCCATTAGATGGAAAGCAAAAATATTCCTAATTAAGCAATAACTTTACTTTATAGAGAGACATGATAAGGGAATTTTCGAAACGCCATGCGGGAAGGAGGAGTCCGGACATCAAAGAAGGGTGAAATAAACAGGAAATCAAACATGCTTAAAAATTGTACACGAGACCTAACATCGCCTACAAACCTCTACGAGGAAGAGCAAAGACCCAACTTTTGCTTTTAACCATAGAAAGGCCAAACAAAAAACCATGACTTTGAAGCAAAACCCAAATCATAATCAACATCCATGGTTCCAAACCAAGTTACATCATGCACAACTTTTATCACAACAAAAGCACACCCAAAAATGCATTTAACCACTAGCACACGGCTGCTTAAAATTGTGGTACCTGAGGTTCAGTGAACTTAACCCCTTGGCCAGCCGCAAGCCCTGCAAGATCATGCTCCATATACTCAAACACCAAATAAAGACTGCACGACATTCTAGAAGTAACCAAACCCTCAAGCTTTACTACATTCGGGTGATCAAGCCTCCGCAAAACAAGTATCTCTCTCGCCATGAACTTCACACTCTCTGGCTCTAAATTATCGAATCGCACTTTCTTCAATGCCACAATCTTCCCCGTAACAAGGTCCCGAGCCTTATACACATTACTATACGTGCCTTGCCCAATCTGAACAAACCATCATAAAAAACAACACACAAAACAACATTTACTAAATTAGATCCATTTTTCCTTTTTTATATTTTCTAATAAAACAAAAAGAGAAAACTAAAAATTAACATTTTCGAAGAACCTTTGCGAGCTTCTCGAAAGTGTTGGCACGACGAGGAGTCCAATCGCCGATTGCTTCGCCGGCGACAGCCATCAACCACGACGGCCATCCCTGCTGCGTGACAGCGCACGGATCTAGTCTAGGTTTCCGGCGCTCCGGCGCCGGAAGAGTCCCCGGAAAATCCCCGGTGTGCCGATTCCTATCCCTATTTCGAACCCTAACGGCATTATTACCTTCGTCGGCAGCAACGTCCCGCTTCTCTTTCCGGCGACGGCGCTGCTCTCTTGCACCGGCCGGCGACCCGAGCACGCAACCCATCCGTCACGTGAGGCGGCTTACTGCGGCGGCAGAGCACGGTAAACGCATGGAATCCAAAGAAACCAACTACGAAAAAAGCGGAAATCGCCGTCGCGATCGGCGGCGAGCGACGGTGGCTTCTGGGAAGAGCGAGGAGGGAAACGGAGAAGAAGGTTTAAGCTCGGTTGCAGAGTGTTCCCTTCACGTGTTGTTGTGAGTGTGATGAAGAAGTAGTGAACAGGGTGCAGGGGAAGGGGTTCGATTGTGCGGAACGCATGCAGGTTGAATAAACGACACAGCGCGTGGAGAAAATAACGGAAATGCCACTGCGTCTGAAAGTCTGAGCTGGTATTGTCAGTTAAATGGTGGCTGTAGAAGAAAGAGGCAGAAAGTCCAAAACGACACATCGTTGTGACGTCACTCTTTTGGGACCGGAAAGGTCAAGGAGCTGCCATAAAAGTAAAAGGGGAAGAAATTTTTGCCTTTCTCTTTCGTGGAAAACAAGTTCATCTTTTATTATTTTTTTCTTTTCACTATTTTTTTTTTTTTCATTTCTCATTATTTGACTCTCTGGTTGGGACCAGTTATTGCCCTCTTTGAATTGATCTAAATTCCCAAATCAGAATTTAGGTGCAATGATTTAATGGCCTACAACCAATAGATGATGGAGTTATTGGTTTCATTTCAATCCTCAAAATGAAATTATTTTGTCAAATCTTCTGACAAATGAAGTTACTTCTTCCACCTACCGTGCCCAACGTAATAAATTGTGCCTTTGCATTCATTGCAGAGAAAGAGCACATTGTTCAAAACTTTTACATTAGTCGTACTGCGTTTTGACAAATAAGTTTTTGGGAAAGTAAACTTTAATATCTGGTCAAGGAAAATAAAATTTTCGCCATGACAGAAAATCTAAACAATGTATGAATTAATTATTCGGAAGTTTTAAAATGTTTTTCTTCCTTTCAAAATAGTAAATATTACTTTGGTCAATATTTGTGTAAATAATAATGAATTATTGAAATAATGTTTTGAAAGTTACATTGCTTTTGACATTTTTAGTTCACACTGACCTTTCCACCTTCTGTTTGTTGAAAGAATATACTGTTTATACGCATAGAAAGAGTAAAATTTGTGTCTAACAGTTTCTGTTTATTTTAAATGATTTGTAAAAAATTGAAATAAATGAAAATTATAAAATTAATCATTAGCGAAAAGTAGTAGAAAACCAATATAATGGACGAAAATTATTAAATTATTTTTTAAAATTAATGTAAAATCATATATTTATTAATAAAAGATTATAGTAAAAAATTTCTATTGATAAATTATGCTTCTGTTTGAATTGGGTGGAGATTTGTGGAAATGGGATTTGAGGTGATTTAAACTCAAATATGATATTGGTTGGATTGATATAATTGATAAAATTAAATATAAAATAATTAAATAATAATTTTTATAATATAATAATTAAAATATCATTATTATTGTAATAAATAAATTAAGTAAAAATAATAATTATGATATAATTAAATATAAGAATATTAATTATTTTATATTGTACATAATATTTAAATATATTAATTTTATTTTATATACAAAGTATAATTAAAATTATTTTATATATTAACTATAAAATATTTTTCATTTTGGTTAAATATATATATGTAAAAAATTTATATTTTAAATGAATATTTAATAAAGTAAAATTATATTACTTTAACAAATTAGGAAAAGGAATTGATGTAACTTTTTCTATAGTTGTTTTATCATTCATGTCTTAGCCTCTTGGATCTTGAAGACGATAAAGACATAATTTAAAATTTTGAAATATTTTATCATGTATAAAAAAAATATTTTAATTAATTATATCATGTTATGGATAATAATAATAATAATAATAATAATAATAATAATAATAATAATAATAATAAAAAAGTTCTTATTAAAAGTTATCTAATCTAAGTTATAGTTTGTCAAATCTAACTTTTAATATAATTTTTCATATGTAACCACAAATTTTTCAAATACAAGTTAAACAAAAATTATTAATAATTTTATCAATATAATTTTGTAAGAATGATAAATTAAAGAAATTATAAATGTTTAAATAGTAAACGAGTGTAATCAGTTTAGCATTTTCCAATTCGTTAAGCGAAATCAACTTTATGCCAACTGTCGTTGAGCGAATTCATTGAATTTTATTTATGTAGAATATGAGCCACTGTATAATCGATTATGTTGCATATGATATTCAATTATGGGTCAAACATAATCGAATATCTCATCAGTCTTAATCGACACAAAAATATTTGATTATGGTTTGGTATATAATCGAATATGGTTTGTCTCTCCCCAATACTGCACTTAGCTCGTCCAACATGCATTCAAAATAATGTATATCTATAAGTCATGAATGAACTTACTTGAACTCCTAAGCTTGTTGAAGATGCACTGAGAGGTTTTTCTGGTTGTAGTTTTCTTTTCTTCAATTGGAAGAACAATAAATACAATTCCTCTTGCTCGAACCTTCCTTCACTTGGACCAAACTACTCGTTCAAATACAACGAAACTCCAAATTTTATGATACTCAGATGGAGAATCGAATGCTAACATGACCACATCCAAAAGTTTCAGGTGTATTTATAAGATTGCTCTTTCTCTACTGTGTAACGACCATAACACCACCACCTTTTATTATTAACATGCACCCAAGACTATTACAGTACTTTCAATGAAGTGCATACGAGTCTAGCAAAGATGTACAATGTACATTATTAGCTTTTCTCATTGTTTGGAGGTGTAGGAACCAACTTTTGAACCCCTTTTGATTGCATGTGAACTTTGTGGAGGACCTTCGGGTGTAGTGTGGGTTCACATGCGATGTTCCAATTTTTTTAATGTAGCCAACCATCTTCATCTCGATTACTCACGTGTTGATGCCCTCGTTCATCCCAACATGCTCAAAACTTGTTAAAATTCAGTCACATTGAGAACAAATGAGACATTTTGTCTATCGACCCCCACCTTTCTCACCAGTTCTTTAAAGGGTTGGAAGAGATTATAAGTTATTACAGTTAGAAATATTGTTACATTTCTTCTGTTTTTATGTTTTCTCTTCTTTATTATTTTTTGTTAGTTTTTTATCCTTCTCTTGTAAATATAGGCTTATAAAAAGCTTCTCTCTGTATTGTTACTGTTGCGTTGATCAATAAAGAGTTATGTAAAGTTTTTCTTTCTTAATTCAAGCCATAAACACTAATATGGTATCATATTAAGAATTTCCTTCCTAGCTTCCGCATTCCTTCTCTAGTTTCTGTTTTCTTCTTTGCTGCTTCTGATCAACCATGGCTCAACTTAGCCTAAACAACACACCACCAGATCATCTCATTAACCCTGTCAATCCCCTATACTTGCATCCCGGTGAAAATCTAGTCGTTGTTCTTGTTTCACCCCTTTTGACAGAGACAAATTTCATCAATGGCAATGTGAAATGTTGGTGGATTTAGAAACCAAAAACAAAGAAAAAGTCGTCAACTCAAGCCTTCCTTGCCCTCCTGTCAACGACCTCTTCATGGCACTTGGCGACGTTCCAACCGAATGGTCATGTCATGGCTAATACGTTCCATGACGCCCTTCATCAAACAATTTGTGATGTGGATGGACATTGCACTTGAAATTTGGAATGATCTTAAAGAAAGATTTTCACATTCCAACAAATTTCGTGTGGCAGATCTTCAAGATCAAATACAAAACTGCAAACAAGGTGAGACCAGTGTATCCGAATACTATACAAGATTAAAAATCTTGTGGAAAGAAATAGAATTGTACCGGTGTGTTCTAGCTTGTTCATGCTCCACATCCTGTTCCTATGGACTTCTTCCAAGATTACATAAAGAAAGAGAGGATGATTGTGTAATACGCTTCCTACGAGGCTTGAACGATGATTACTCGGAGGTTTGTTCTCAAGTGATGATGATGGACCCGATGCCTTCCATTGTTAAAACCTTTTCCATGGTCTTGCAACACGAACGAGAATTTGTAAGCACACCCTCTTCCAATCAAGATTTAGTTGCGTTTTCTGTACAATCCAATGAACCCTCCAAACAATATAATAAAACTTCCACTGGAACAATCAAGAATACCAATCTTGGTAAATCCAATAGAAATAACAAGTTCTGTGAAAAATGTAAAAAGACAAATCACACCATAGAAACTTATTATTGGCGCATTGGATTCCCTGCTGGATACAGAAAAGCACCTTGTGTTTTTGTTGGTGCTACTTCATCTGCAAGTTTGGCAGAAGCAGAACCTGATACTTCTCATCTGCAATCTGAACTGGTTGAAGGTTCTACTCGTGAGCAATTTAGTTTCTCCAAAGAACAATACACTGCTCTCCTAGCTCTTCTCCAACAATCTCAAGTTAATTCGGCTTCAGTTCATTCTCTACAAAATCCTTCCGTTAATTCATCAGGTGATATTTCTTCTTTTACTCCTTGTATTTTGGACAGCGGTGCTACAGACCATATATGTCCATCTAAAATCTTGTTTCATTTCTTAAAACCCATTTCTCCTATACATATTAAGTTGCCTAATAGTACTACTGTTACTGCAGATTTTTCTGGCAAAATAATTCTTGGCAATTTAACTCTTCAAAATGTTCTATATGTACCAGATTTTGTTGCCCATCTCATCTCAATCCCTAAACTTCTATCACATTCTAATTGCATGATTGTGTTTTTTTATACCACATGCTTGCTTATGCAGAAATCACAATTTCGGATGATTGGTACAACTAAATACTGCAATGGCTTGTTTTACCTTCAACAAAATAATGGTTTCAATTCTTGTGATTCTTTTTCACATAATACTGTTGTTTCCAGTGATATGCCAACATTATGGCATCATAGATTAGGCCACACATCTGATCGCATTTTAAAACATTTGTATACGAAATACAATGATATTGTTTTTTTATTGTTCTCAACCGTGTGACACATGTCATTTTGCTAAGCAAAAAA